TTTTTTTTTTTTTTTTTTTTTTTTTAATACTACCAATCAGGTGTCTTGTTTTTACAGGGCTAAATGTTATGTTCCGTTGCTGCTGATCTTTTCATCTTGTAAATTTTAATGATGAGCCTGGTTTTTATCCTCCTTTAAAATAGTTCTTCCTCTTATATCAAAGCATTCAGAACCTTTTCAAAAGTCCTGGCTAAATAATGTGTTGTCAATTTTTATGAAAAGCATTTGCTAACTACAAAAAGGGGTGGCAGAAGTTTAATGTGTACAAATAAAATCATTCCAAATTAAAAGTTAAATGCTACTGAGTTTACACACACACACAAATTATTGGCAGGAATACATTTGTCGGGAAATATGAACCTCTGAATTTGAAATATTTGCTACCGTGGTTTATCAGCATGACACATTTCTCTCCTTTTTTTCAGAATAGTTTCATAATGCACAATGRGGGAGATAAATTAGAAAATAAATCTTCTGATGTCTGTTTTTTTCTTTCGTGTAGGAAACTGTCCAATTAACTAGTTACCAAAACTTTAAATTCTGTGCTTCAAGGGCAATATAATCTTGTAACAGGTGATTTTCAGGGGTAGGACAATCACTCTCCTTTATGGAATATTAATATGCATAAAATTAGAAACAGGGAACAAAAAAAATATGACTTCAGCTAAATATTCTGTGTAAACTGCTTATGAWTGCGTTGAAATCACAACTCAGTGATACTGAATATTTATTTCAACATTGTAAAGTAGATGCTGAGTGTTGCCATGTAAAGCTATGAAACTAGTGTCTCTGAAGCTAAAATTTAACGAAGTGAGGCTGCAAGCTCATCAATGAAAGAAAGCAAGAGTTGAAGCAAAAATWGTGACCATGTGAGTGAAGCTTAGCAGTGATAATGTAAGACTCCAAAAGGGAGAAAAAAGTAAACCGAGTTCACTTGGTTACCSATCTGCTCTAAATTTCTCCACTGCAGAAAAGACGGTTCCTTTTGTGAAGATGTTCTACCTGAGGATAGAAAAGGGGATTAAAAATACAKCTAGATTAGAAAATAAGACCTCTGTTATGGAAGGGTTGTCTACCAAAAGTCTTTTTAGTGTTGTTGGGGTTTTTTTGTTTTGTTTTTTCCTCAGAAGCAAGCAGATAAGGGAAATGGCAAAGAACTACTTTAAGTGCAACTACTAAGTGCAGTATTGCATTTGATAATCAAGTAAGTAAATTCCTCTTATGAAGCCGTCTAAAATCTTTGCAGAGACAAGCACTTACCTGAAAGGTTCTGATAAGTTGCCCTCAATTCTGTTTTTTTTCCCAGACTCAGTCAAGAACAGAAGTACTGCTATAAACCTAAATGAGCCCTTCCTGTTACAGCTTTCTTCATTCATTCATTTTTATGCTTTTTTAACTTTTGAAAGCAGAGAAATAAATTATTCTTTTTTTTTTTTTTTTGAAAGTATTTCCATTTCTTCTTCCTATAAGTATCACAGGAGATTTTCTGTCTCTTGTGCTCCATAAATATCTTCGTGAGTGAATTTTAACAAGCAAATTTTTAGAAAATAATTATTGCYTTTTCAATTGACAGTGTCTCATGGATTCCTTTTCTTATTACGCAATTCAAAAACTAAATTAACCTGATTAATTATTGTCTGGTTAATGACTGTTTTGTCAAGTCCAGTTTCTGGATTTTTTTGTGTGTGTTTTTCATATTGTCTGCTTCAGTTTAGTAGGAACTATTTTATTAGAATATGTATTTTACAGAATTTTCTAAATAAATAAAGATCTAGTCTGCAAACTCTGCATTTAAAGATACTAGCTAACTTTCAAAGTACCGATCGTTGCTGAATTCTGATGCCTTTTAAATYAGTGTKGGAGTCAACATTGCACAATTCCATTACCTGCAGGATTAGGTCTGATGTGACCTTTTGAAGAAGTCTTGTCTAAGGATCAAGTTTATTACCTTACTGTTTGATTCTCCTTCTTGAAACATAAACCAAGACACAAATAAGATGCAGACACAATTAAAAATAGTGTGTGTCTCCTAAGGTATAACAGCATCAGCAGAGCATGGAGGCATCTGCTAACATGGAGATAAAAAAAAAAAGATGATGTGAGATGGGTTATTATGTGAATAGGAGACACTAAAATAGCTGTCTTTTGAAATGAAAACTTACTTGAATAAGCAAAGAACATAGCAGCATGCTAAAAAACTATCAAAATATGTATAGTCCAAGTGAAGTTAATATTTTTTTGAAATTGTGAGCTCCCATGATGTGCTTCTGCTTCAGTCTGGCATTCATGTATGTCTCCTGTTCAGAACAGGTGCTAAACATGGTAGTAACCTTCGTGCTTTTTATTCATAGTTTCAAATAAACAATTAAGTAAATGGTTTAAGATGTTGCTGCATTTGAGAATTTATTTTATCGTTATGTACTTGTTCACACTTGTAGCACTTTTAATTAGACAGTAAAACACTGAAAGTGACAGGACTCAGCCTTTGAGATGTTTCTCTGATGAATTATTAGGCAATATAAAACTAAAAAGGGAGATAATGTGTATCTAAAAGCACTTCAGCAGCTTTACATGGATCAAATTATCAATGAATTAAGAGAACTGTGCAATAACACAATGTTTTCTGGTTTTTGTAGTCTTCATTTTCTATAATACTTCTCTTTTAAGATACAGCATACTGCAAGGTATGGGGAATGGTCATTTTCGTAACGATCAAAGCTGTGCCACGCTTGCAGCATTTGCAACTTATTCAATTATCTTTCCTTTCTTATGTAGAATATGAGGTCAATAAAAGTGTTGTTGCACATTTTTGCCACAGGTGAGTATAATTGATCAGTACAGTGTCATATGGGACTTTATGTATTCATATACAGTTTTATTTTATGAAAGCTTTAGTTTGTAGGATGTGGCTTTCTTGAGATATCCTCATCTGCTATTTCCTTGACAATAGCGATACAGATGCTGCTATCACCATGGGAATGGTACTCCTGAATGAAGCTGCTACATCCAAAGGCGATGTTGGGAAAAGGAGAAGTAAGTTACTTTTAGTATAATTAAGAAAATATTTACCCAAATAAAAGAAATTAAAAAAAATATATATACATGTTTTTTTCAAAAGTTTTTCCAAAAGTTTTTACATTTTTGTGGAATGGACTATAAGAGAGTATCAAACCTGTATAACTGTGCAGGTATCAAACCTGCATTCACATAAAATTACAACAGTATAAAAATATCTTAAGCACCCATAGCCAAGTTACTGCTTGAAATTGCTATCTGCTCACTGCAGTACTGTACAATATGAAGTATTTTGGACTTTTCAATTATATTGCAAATTAATGATAAATAATGATAAAAGTTTCAAAACATTATTTTTAGAATGAATTTAGGCATTTAAGTAGTTTAAGATGGCAACATTCATAAAAGTATGAAAATTATTTTACTAGATACACTTTGCCAGTTCCATGTGTCTCAAAGGATGGTGAGAACCCAACAGAAGATCTGGTATAGGACATATCTTAGTTGCTAGTGTCCAAAAGATGTCAGCTTGAAGTCTAAATTTTACATTTCCTGATGTTTTGTCATTCTTAATAGTTAGAAGCTTTTTTTTTTTTTGGTAATGAAATGCTTAAGTCCAGATTTAAACTTCCTAATTCTTACATTGCACAGCCTCTTTCTTCTTAGACAGCCTTTTACATAAGTTTATGTGAATGTATTCATCAGCCTTTCTGTTTTTTTTTTCATAGCCTCTCTTATTTATCCCTTTTCTAATGTAGGGAATTCAAGAATGTTTAAACATACCTGACTTTCTGTAGTGCTTTGCTGCTCTTTCTTAGTTCATTTTTCAGTATCTTTCATGCCGTACTCAGAAGATTTTCACCTACAGTGATTTTGTGGTTTCCTTCTGTGAGCCGTAGGTGCTTAATTTCCTAAGGTTTTTTTTTACAGTAGGTTTGATACCAGTGCAGGAGAGACATTCAGATGAGTTTCCTTAGAATGCAATCTTAGAACCTGACATCTTAGAAAGGTGACATCTAAGCCTGTGAAGCCGGACATAATGAAGTAACACTGGGATACAGCACAAATTCAAACTGTGTTCTGCTTGTGACCCTGATGCAAAAGCTTTCTGTGTACCTGCCTTCCACTGTTTATACTTGCCAGTTTATTCATCCATACTTTGAAATGGTATTTAAAGCTCATTATTTCTTTACAGTGAAGTGTATAACAGTTTTATGTAGGTAGTTTTCTCAAAATAATTGCAAAAAATATATATTTCTCACATAGTTTTAATGAAAAATATTTATCAGTTTCACAGGCTGGATGGTTATTTCATCTTTACTCAAAGCCAGAACATATTTGAATCATGAATATTGCAATTAAATAGCAAAGGTTTGACTAAGCTACATATAGTATAAGAAGAGAASCTTTTAAATTCATATTAGTTCACTAGAATTGAAAGATTATCTAATGGAGATGCAATGCATCTCCATTATGTGCATCAGCTTGTAAGATGCTGCCTTTTTTCCACACACAGTTGAACCAGCTATCATGATTGAAARGTTTTATGTTATTACTGCCCAGGTACCATTGGCGTCAAACTTTATTTGTTAATTTAAGCATTTATTTTCCTAATTTGTTCTTAGCCTGAAAAGGCTCTAAGTGCTTGCATGTGTATACTATCAAAAGGTTTACATCRTTGATACTTATCTTCAAAACCTGAAGATGTATGCTGTCAAGTTCATAGGGAAAAAATAATCTGGCCTCCAGCCTTAGATCTTATTACAAGGAATGTCTTAGCCACTAGGAATTAGATAAGGTAATTACTAGACTGCCTTCACCATTAGCCTTAGTTGACTAGAGAGAACATGACTCAATTAGTGAAAGGATTTTTTTCGAAACATAATTTGTTTTCTGGAAAGAAAAAGCAAATACCTGAAATTACATTGCTTGATATGTATAATTTACAGAGTTATTAAATCCATTATCAGCAGTAAGGTGTTTACATCCACAAACATTTGAGTTGCAAATTACTATTCCCTTTTCTTGAAAATAGACAAGCTATTTTGCTTAATAACCATAAATATTATTTCCACATGTGTCTGCAGTCCTGTCAAAAGATAGTGAGCATCAGTAGCAAGGCAGCAACCCTCAAAATTATGTCAAAACTTATTGACATAAATAATATTCTTTGTAGACAGTCTAGATTCAAATCCTTTGTGTGCTAGTAAACAAATTTGTTTTCTTTCCAGTAATCTGCCTGGTAGGCCTCGGTCTGGTGGTCTTTTTCTTCAGCTTCCTGTTGTCAATATTCCGCTCCAAATACCATGGCTACCCCTATAGGTAATGTTTTATTGCATTATCACCTTAGATAACTTTTTATATATTTTAATGACATTGTGTATGTTTTAACAACATCTTAGCTAACAGCTAAAGTCACTGAAGTCTTGGCTAGTTGGACAAAGCAATAAGAATAATGATTCATTCAAGCAAACCAAGAAGGTCTGAAAGCTGATGAGATTAACATGGTTACTACTGGAGACCAACACTTTTGAGCACAGAACATTGCATCTACAAGTACTCCAGAGAAAATGCAAAAAGAAACACATGCTCAAATTTTTAGACCTTTACTAAATATTTATTTGCCTATCTTTTTATACACACATTTTAGCTATAATATAGGTAGATATAAGACACAATAAATAATCCAGTATGTAGTGCTGAGCTMTGATTTAACACTGAGTTCCTTCTCCTTTTTTCAGCATTGTGTAGGTAGATGCTTTTGGCCGGCAGGTTATCTATACTCTAGACTTCTGATTTACATCTGCACATCAGCTGTCCTGTTCTTTTTAAGTAATCTAAAAGAGTATTTTTAGTCATGAACAGAGATGGATGGTCTGTATCGTTTTCTCATGATCCTGTCATCATTTTCAGAAAAAAGGAAAAAGCCTAGCTAGAGGAARGAAACAGGGAAAGGTGCAGTTAAGCAAAGTCAGCAGTGATTTAGAAGTAATGGACCAGGCTRCTTTGCAGTATGATGACATTTCCCTAGTCATCAAGTTTGTAGAACAAAATAGAGACCTTTTTATCTTTCTCTTCCATTGTTTTAAATTTTTTCATGAGGAAAAGTTCTTCTACTTGATCTCCTCCTAGACAGCATTCTCAAGCTATTAGTTTCTGATCATAGTTGAAACTATGCCTTTCTTCCTTTTGCCTTACTCTCTGTTCCATTTTCACCCTTTTTCTTGTTAATTCTCACAGGCAACTAACATTTTATGTACTTCCGTTGTATTACCCTAAACAAATATACACTTAAGATAAGTACATGAGGCCTTAGGGTTTTTTTGTTTGTTTGTTTTTTGTTTTTGAAATGCTTGAAAGCATGTATGTCATTTATATCCAACTAAACCTATCTCACTCTTAAGATAACAATTTTTTTTTCTGCTAGCTTTTGCTGTCATACCTACTAAAGTGTTTTATTATTCTATTCTCAAGTGTCAATGACATTTAATCTAGATTATCGTAGATTTGTTTCTGTCATTCAATAATACATATTCAAGATAGGAAAACTCTTCCTCTTGCAATAGTCACAGGTCTGYTCCTGCTTTTTGCTCTTTTCTGTCAAGAGAAGTCTATAAAGATACCAGCTGTCTGATATTGCAAAGTTTTGTTACTCTCTAGCTGATAATTTGTATTCTGGGATAGTCTGTTCAGCCTCTTCCTCTGCCTTCTAGAGACAACCTTGTAGCCTTGGGGAAGTTTGGGGTGACAGATTTCACTTTTCCTATGTGTAAGATATTTTAAGTAATATTGAGTTTTCTCTTTGTTGTATGTTTTCAGGGGGACAGATTTTCTATTTTCACGATTGCATCTATATTTTACAAAGTACTAGAGATTCTGGAAGCCACTTTTAAGTTTTAAATTTTTCAAATTTACCTATCTTTTCTATGGAATGTCTAGCAGAAGTTAGATACTAAATGCAGACTTCAAAGTGTCCAAGCGTCCACTTAGTATCCAAGATAGGAGTGAAGAAAACCAAAAAGCAGGAAAACAAAAGGAGAGAGAGAGTGAACTTATGAATTCTGTTAAAGGTTTAAGTTCAAGAAATGTAATTAAATGCACAATGCACATTTAAGAAAAGTGCACCTATTCCTGTGCTAAAATAAAGAAGAGACCGGAAGAATTCCAGGATGGTGCTATAAGGAATGATACATCACAACCCTGCTATAATCAGGTGTTGCTACATCATAACATCATACTGTTACTATGAAGGAATTTTTAGATCCATAAACGAAGTTCTGCTGTAAGGAGCTAAGTAAACTCACTATTGCAGCTCGCTAGTCAGTAATACCCATCCATCAAGGAAGTTCATAAAAGAATAAATTGTGCGTGCCTTTCATTTGCTMGTTTCCAAATGAGTTGTTTACTTATCTGTTCCTTTCAGCATTAAATCTTTGAGGTTTCCACATCTCTCTTGGGGAGCTCTGACCCCATTTTCTGTAGCACTATTGTAAATARACATGCTGTTGATTCTTTCACACTTCAGCAATCTCAACCATGCCGTCTTCATGGAAAAGCTTKTTTTCTACAAAACCAGATACTGTTTCTTAAGAAGAGAAGCTTCTACTGGATATAYGTATATAGCTTGAAATAATTTTTATGAAGTGAGCATGCAGAACACTTGAGGGGAATATTAACTCCTTTCTTCTCCCTTTGCCCCTTTAATTTCATCTCATTATTTTAAAAGAAGTCATGCATGCTTGTATACATGTATCTTTTTGTTTGATTTCCTTAGCATCTTCAGCAGAATCCCAGAGCAGCTATATCTTCAGATGTGAAATCTGTCTTTTTACTTTCACTGGTTGTAGATTTCGCCTTGAAACTATCAGTCTTTGTATGGTATATTGTGTTACAGCTCCTCTTGTTCCTCAGGCTGGCAAAGCTTTGCCTTTAACAATACTAACAGCAAGGCATACTAATGATCTGTCAGTTAAAAAAGGAAAAAAAAAAAAGAAAATCTTTATGTTGGCATGCCTAAAGCAGTATTTAAAGAAAACTGAAATTTCACTGTTATATACACATTTTCAAGCATCAACTTTACTGTCACATTTCAAAGAAAGTCAAATAAACTAAATTACCTGTGTACTCTTGTCACTGAACAGCCAAATAAGTCTTCTGTGAAGCAGCATGCATCAGTAAAAATTGAAAAAGCAACAGAGCCTGCTGTGCATCCTTTTTCTCACCACTGACCTGCATCTTGTAAAGATAGAACAGAATAAAGGTGGATGAAAATAAATCATGAGTTAAAAGACTGAAGAAGGACTGTTATTTCCTCYTCTAACAACATTACCAGTCTCTTGTTTTTTGCATGTTTTGCTTCACCTCTGTAATGCCATTGTCATTGTTCTTTACAGTGACAAAAGAATAAAGGAGAGTCCTAATAAAAGCACACATCTGTAAATGTGCTCTTTAGGAGTGTGTGTGTGTGTATATATATATATATAAATATATACATGCGTGTCAGCAGGGAGGAGGAGTAGCACTTTTGTTTTTTCATCCTTCTTAGACATTTTCCAGTTAAGGTTTTTGTTTCTTCCTTCCATAGTGTATTTTTTTTCCCAAGACTTAGGTTGGATAAAACRTTATGAATGTTCAGGTAAAATACCCATAGAAATATACACTCAGAATATATATTTGTATAATGTATTTTTTTGACCCAGGTGAGACAAATAACAATAGGCTACACTCATAAATCCCATTATGGAAGTTTCTTACTAAATAAATAGAATCATGATGAATACTAATCCAGCATGTAAGAAATGCCTCTCATAGCCATTTTTACCATAGCAAGGACTTTTGATGCCCACATAAAAACAAGAACAGGAGCATGATGGATTTTTTTCCTGTTGCTAAGCCTTTTATTTTAATTGCTATCATTAATTAAATAATGTTCTATTTCAACAGTTATCAAAGAAATGTCACTTTACAAGCTGAGTATTTACTCTTTATGCAGGAGTGTTGCTCTATTCAAGAGAGTCTTTTGGAAAGGTCTTTCCACTCCTTTTCAGGGATTAAGTATTTAAGTGATTGAGCAATAAACTCATATTAGCATAGATTTTTTGTTGTTGTTGTTATTGGTCAAGTAACTACAAGAGAAAGAAAGAAAGTTAACTATACACCAAAACCATGACTGATAAGATAACTGCCAGTCAAAAAAAGAGCCTGAAAATGAAAAACTGAGATTGGAAGGTTCTAGGGAAATTACACATTAAGTAATTGCAGTCCAGAAAGCACTAGTATTAAAGACTGTTCAGAAGAATAGTGAAAGACCATAAATATGGATTAAAACGTCAGTGTATTACTATAGACTATGATATTTTACATGCTTTAGGCAATTACTATCACCTCATCTTTGCTATTTTTCTTAGTTAAAAATCAAATCTATTCAAAACAGGTTTAAGTATCTCCCAAGACAAAGATAAATTTTGCTTGACACCAATATGATAAATAGTTTCAAGATGTTACCCAATACATTTAAACTTTAACCAGCTTCTATAAGAGCAGCTTTGCAGCTTCAGCTAAGGAATGATAGGAGTGTAAATATTTACAACATGGATTTCTTCTGGAAGACAGACAGATAGGAGTGGTATCTATTTACTGGTGCTTGAAAAGGTCTCTCAATGTTTTTTTGAGCACTAACTGAAATTTGCCAGCTAATGCGTGTTGTGTTTGTGGGTGAGTTTCTTGGAACAATTCCTTTATTGTTGACATCTCCAGTTATGCTTTCAAGTCAACATGTCTCACCATCTGCAGGTTTTTAAAACTGATTTTAGATTTGTAAACATGAAAATTTGAATTTTCATCTATTTTTTTCATTAAGCTGCTTTCAGTGCTTTAAGGTTTTTTGATAAGCGCTATTAAGTACTTCATTATCAGATTGTCCTTTTTATCCATTTTATCAGGTTAGTATTGAAAAGAYAGCCTTAAGTCTTGTACATATTCTTGTATAAGACTTTATTATAGATAATCATTTTTCAGACCTATATATGAATAGAATGGAAAAATATGTTGTGTATTTACTAACAGAAAAGGGAAACTAAGCTCCAAGAAAGCTTACTAAGTAAGGGACGGCTTGCTTTTAAAGAGACRTAAAAGTTAAATCAGACATGAAGTATTCATTTATTGCTTAAATTGAAACAGCCAATGCATCAAAAAAAGACAAATTGCAGGATGCCCTAGAGGTGTAAAATTTCTTTCATACACCAAATATGATAAATGTCCACTCTTATCATAATTTAGTTTATTTCAGTAATAAAATCTTGCATAATATTGAGCATTTGAAAAATACAAATGATTATAATTGAGTAGTTATTTAAAATCTACAGGTAAAATGTTAGCAAATAGGACAAATGGTATTTGCAGACTGTTGAAATTTAATTTATTAATCAAGATTATTAATAGAGCTTTTTAGATGGTGTATTATCCATATGGGCTTCATGCATAATTAAGCTGACTTATATTTTATGAACTGATAAATCTACTTCTAATAAATATTTAAATTCAATTCTATAACATAACACATAGAAAGCTATCTTCAAATCTGAAGAAATCAGGATTGCTCTATAAGATGAGAATAGTACACATTTGTCCAGACAGTGATTCTTAAATTTACCATTTTTTGTATTTTCTTCTAATTTGGCTAGATCACATATGTTTCAGAAACTGCCCAGAAATACTTGCTGAAATACCAGAGGAAATAGCTCAGTCCTCTTTGCTTGGCAAACCATCTAACACCTTACCAAGTTTATGCAGATCCACTTTCATGCGATTGCCACTCATAGCTTTTAAAAAAAAAARCTAAATAAAAATAAAAAYACTTTTATGGCTTTCCCATAAATCTTCTCATGACTTTGCAATTTATTCTTGTCTGCTCTACTTAAGTAGGATTAGTTGATGTCTGAAAGGCAACAGTTTGGCCATCATTTTCTATTGTTTTCTCCKGCTTTCCATAATCAGACATGGTGGGGCTTTGTTTGCTTTCAGATTTGCTCCAACATAATGTTATCCAATTTATCACCTTGATATTTCAGAAACTTTTCCTTCTCCCTCCATTTTTGGCTATTGTCTTCTACATAGTTTTAGGTGTTTACCTTGTCTGTGTTCTCTCTTAATAGCTGAAGATAGTCTTTCTGTATGCAGACTGTAAGGAACAATAAATATGGCAGCAGTCTGTTTGTCCAAAATGACACATGAAATTTACAGTATTGGTGACTATCTTTCTCTACAAGATAAGCACATCACTCAATCTTTAATTAGCAAATTTATGTTCCTTTCCATTGTAATCTTCAGCCCTTCACTCTTTTCACCACATGCACCCCACTGTTACTCTTTTTCCTATACATGGCCTCATACCACTAACACAGGTCTGGATTACCTTTCTGAGCTGGGGCGTGCACAGCCTTCTCTTACTTCTTCATTCAGCACCTAACAGTTTCCACCTTTGTGCAGTTGTTGTTGATTTGGAAGGTGGAAAGACATCAACTTCACCATCCAGCTTCCAGCCAGCWGCCATCTCTTGTCTTGGCTTACCTATCTTGCCTAGCAAGCTTGTCAACTTCTTGCAGTGGGGAARTCTTTATACTGATACTGTCTTTTATGCTTACAGTCTTTTATGCTTGCTTTTTTATGGATGTTTTGYAATGATTAAGCAATTATGGCATGAATGGAAAACTGACAAGTTACTACAACATGTRTGCTAGAGCACACCATACATCTGTAAGGCAATGGAAGTTGTGTTATGGAAAGCTAGAGGCAGTGATGTTAAAGACACYCCTCCATTCAATACAATAGTGTGAACTATGACCATATACAAGACTTCTCGCTTTGTAAAATAACTCTTTGCTAAAGTATTTTAAAAATACATATATKGCTTATCATAACTTTAAGAATTTCAAAGTATGAAGTTTTGTTCCAAGCAAAAAGAATCTAAATGTCTGCAGCCCTGCTGAGCCTTGCCAAGTTCTCTAGACTCTCCCTACTCCATGGCCAATTTAACAGTGAAGGAAGAACATCCTGAATGAATCTGAAACCTGGGAGAGGCAGTTCTCACTTAAATAGAACTTGATTGAAGAGAAAAGGTGTTTGAAGTACATTTTGCYTTTAAAAAAATTAATAGGAAAATTTAAGTTTCAGTCACTCAACTTTTATTTATTTTGATAACTTTCATGCTTGCTTAGCTATTACTTAATGGGATATAAAAATTTAAGAGATCATCATGCATGTCTTGAATGACTTCTCAAATGAGTGTTTTGAAGTACTTGCTAATTCTGTTAAAAATAATTGTGATGCCATATTTTATATGCATTTTTCAGCACTTAATTTTTTTTTTCCTTTTCAGCTTCTTAATTAAATGAAATCAAGAGGGATTCATTTAGAGCTGTTTCCTGAAGATAAGCTGTTACTTATTATCTGATTACCAATGTTACATGTATTCAAGAATATTTTATTGGTTTATCTGTTTTTGTGATAAGTTATATAGTATGCTGACAGACACATGAGTGCAGTTTTATGCAATGAATGCTTAATTTATAGAAATGTACCATAAAGATCCTATTAGAAAGTGTTAAAATTATTCATAGAGTATACACAATGGTCAAACATTCAAATAAAGTTCATTATAATGGGTGTTTCTTCAAGACTTCCTCATTATCATGGGTCCAGAGTGGCAAGATTTTCCTGTGAAGCTTGTTGTAAGGTTTTGAGCTATACTTTAGAAACCAAACAAGATATCATAGGTTTTTCAACTACTGTTAAGAAAAATACTGGGGTGGGGAATCATTATTTGGTAACTGCATGCTTCGTACCACCACTTTGCTTTGAAGGAAAGAATAAGTTCCAGATTCTGTCTCGGATGTTTAAGAACTGATAAACCAACTGTTCTAGCATGTGCTGTGGAGGGTCTCCACAGATCTCCAACAACCTTTGTCAGCTATGATGCTTCTAGAGATGGAACAACCCAGCATTGTCTTAGCTGCAGCTTAGACTGTGAGGTGAACAGAATCAAAGCRAAGCCCAGTCTCATCAGACAACATTCATTTTTAATCCAATAAACCTCCAGTTAGACAAACTGCTTTATACCTATATTTAAAATTCTGGGTCAACATTTATGAAGATTAGAAAGTACTAACACAACATCCCATACTTAATGATGTTGGGAGCAATATGAAACAAGTATCCTGTCAACATCCATTGTGGASTCTTTTCAAGGCCTTAAAGTCCCCGATCACCTTAAACATGGTAAGTCACTAATATAAGATTTAGAGACTTATTCTGATCTTATACCTTCTCACTTGAGCTCAGCTCTGACACATGCATGGACACGGACTGTCCAACATCCACAACCACCCTCCACAAGCAAAGGGTAGGTCAAAAGACCTATTTTTTTTACTTTCTTTGGCCATTGTCATATAAATCCACCATAGACTTGTTTGTCCCACAGGGAAACAAGCCTTTGAGGAACATTTTTTTATTTGATCTACCTATGCCATAAAATATAATTCCATTTTGTACATTAACCCCAGCTGGCTACAGGATTATACAAGGTAACAGTAACATGAAAAAACATTCCCCCCCCCACTTCTGCATCAAGTTAAGTATATGAGTTAAGTATCAAGTTAAGTAGGAGAAGACGGATAGGTGAAATCAACAACTGGCTGCGCCGCTGGTGTTGGCAACAGGGTTTTGGCTTCTATGACCATAGGACTCTGTTTGACGACCACCGGCTAGTGGAGCATGGTGGAAACCACCTCACCAAGAAGGGCAGGTGGGTATTTGCCAAAAGGCTGGCCAATCTCATTAGGAGAGCTTTAAACTAAGCAGGAAGGGGGAGGGGGAGTGTCATATGNGTGAGGGTGACAAAGCACTGGAACAGGCTGCCCAGAGAGGTTGTGGAGTCTCCTTCTTTGGAGATCTTTAAAACCCGCTTGGATGCAGCCCTGTGCCACGTGCTCTAGGTGACCCTGCTTGAGCAGGGGGGTTGGACTCGATGACCTCTGAGGTCCCTTCCAACCTTCGGCATTCTATGATTCTATGATTCTATGATGCTAAAAGATTCATATTCCTGTATTTTCAAGGTAAGTGTGTGTTATGTGTTAACACACAGTTAACATATAACATCAGTACATTGATATTAGTTTAGTGATTTAAACTAAACCAAACTGTTTATCTAAAAGCACTTGAAATAAATATTTCTGTTTTCTGTTTAGCCTTTCCAACTTGCACTTTGAAAAAAGTAAGAAAGTAAAACAGTAATGGARAAGTCTCTGAAGTTCCCAAGCTGGAAAGCCTTGTTTCATCTTTCAATACTTATGTTTGTGCTTTAGGTATTTCACTCTGGAGAGAGGGAAGAAGCCTCAAGGCAAGTCATTATTGAGAGGTGCTTCAGGCAAAACCAGTGGAATATGTGAATTTATCTAGGCTTCAGAGCACAAACTTCCATAAGTATTTGTTATCCCTCTGCTAGCATTTGGTTCAAAAGTTTCCTTCTCAATGTTTCAAAATAAGGAGTAAGAAGCTTTGTTATGTTTTCTAAGTAAGCTGTTAGAGTCCTATTCAGTAATACTGTGTTTAGTAATATGTATTTTCTCTGGCAATGGAGTCATTTTGCCCAACAGAGGAAAATATAACCTTTTATTTCTTATTTGAAAATATTTTCATTCATCAGGGCTAAMAAGATTTTGTGTATCAGGGAGATTTAAGTGTTTCCTTGCCTTTTTCCAAGGATAACATTCTCATGCCCATCTCAAGAGGGCCGTCGACCACCACCATGTCTGGTGGCAAGTAGTATTCTACATAACATCAATAATGAGATGACTTGGCCAACCGTCTGTGTCACTATGAAGTGACACACCTCCATATTCAAGGTATTGAGAGTTGAGAATATTTTACCTGGTGCAGGACAGCTTTTATCTTTTTCCCCCCAACACATACTCTGCTGCATTAACCTCTCTCTGTACAGCTCCAATTAAAAAAAACGAACAAAACCACACACAGAACCTTAGGACTAAGATTCAGTGGCTACATATACATATAGTTAAATCCCAAAACTTAATTGCACTTCATTTTACTTTKAGGCAAGACCATACTCAGTCCCAAAACCTATGCCCCGTCCAAGCTCCTGCTAGGAGACATCTCTGTTCTCCAGGTTGCTCAAGATACCAATTTCCTCTCATAGAGGACTCACTGCTATTCACATGTTAACACTCATATCCATTTAATAAGYAAAGCAAACCACACAGATGTTGCAGGTTAGGGTTTTCAGGGATATATTAGTCATAGTGCGTCAGCTGGTATAATTCAGGAACTGCTAGGAGTTAAAGCAACATTCAGATTTCAGACTATTTTCTGGTAACTCACCAGAAGCATCTTCTACAAGAGGTACAGAGATAGCTGTCCTCCTGCTGCACTGTTTGCAGAGACATCTGAATGCCTCTGGGTTCTCAGTTTATTGCAGAACAGCCATATGAAGGACAGAAACAATGTTTTGATCACRAAGAGCTCTGCAATGGTATAATTGTACCAGCCAAAGTATCCAGTATCYCTCTCTCAACCTCTTTTTGACTTAAAGCCTTCACTTCATTGTTGCTAGTTTTCCTTTGGAGAAGGTCAGCAGCCGCAATAAAAATTTGTATCTTTCTTGATAAATCTAGGCATGTTTAAAAACCCTCAGAGTTTATTGTTCCTTCAAGAGGCTCCCTGCTGTCCTTACTGCACATGCAGCATCATTTTCCTTTGTAAAGTAGCACAGGACTTTCAAGAGTCATTCACACTGAAGGATACCTGAAATGCATTAACATGCTTGGGTTTCAATTGGTCATGCTTTCTGGGTTACTCTTGCTGCAAACACCTCTTGCAACAGATTCATTTCGGGAACATATTAACATCTAATGTCGTTAGAGGTTTGAGTAGTTATTTATCATCCTTTCAAAGGAGTGATTTTTTTTTCTTGCAGGTCCCTTGTTTTGTGACACTAATATTAATCAGCACTAAGTGGTGCTCCACTATGTCATGCATTAGTAAGCCAAAACATTAAAAAATGGGCAAGATAGAAGTAAAGATACATCGTAAACTGTCTCTGGTATAAACTAGCTCTCATGTGAATTGTAGATGAGGTAAAGCAATTGGCAATACTCACAAGTGTCAGAATTCTAAAATTAAAGGTACTGCTCCAACATAGGCATAGAGTGTTAACATGTAGGCAGGATTTGTAGACATATTACTACTACAAAAATGTATTAAGAGCTAGAGATTACCACCAAAGTTATCCATGTGCTTTTAACAGTTTTACTTGCCACATTTCCCAATAGGAGTGTTCTTACTGTGAAGAAAGAATGAAATTAAGCCTTATTCTCCCTATGAAATTACTTGTATTCAGATATGTTCTTTGCTGAAAGACTTTTACTTAAACCTTTGTGCTATTTACCTGAATATTACATGCTGYTGATTGCAAATAACCGAAGTCTTTTCCTAAATATTGTAACCTAAAGAGGAAAGTTTGTTGTAAAGAGTTGCTGCCATTCAGAATAAGACTTTGATTTTGCTTTCCTGTCCRTAGTCTGCACCAAGAACCCAACCACATTTGTATGATGCTGATTATAGCAAATGGCTAGGAAGAGTTTATTCAGTCCATACTCTGTAACACAGAAAGTGCTGCAGGTGACTTGAGCGGATCCTAACAGCAGTTTTCAGTGCTGCAATCTTCAAAGTAAAAATYCCTCCATCTCCAGACAGCCATAAAATAAGTAGAGTATCTGATGGTMTCCAGCATTCCAGCCTATTTCCCTTGAAAAAAAGATAGCCAGCTTTCTAAAATAATTACCCTCACCAAACAATGCAGTTGCCTTTCTAAATACCATCAGCATGTAGTTTGCTACATGTGCCACCATAACCTTTCAGCTAGAATAAATGCAAAATACTGAGAAAGGTGTTTTTAATCATGTAAACTACAGCAGTTGATACAGGACACTAGAACACAGCTGTATAGCAAACTGTCTGAAGCAAACAAAACAGATAAACCAGTGTTAAGAACATAGGWTAATATTAAATATAGAATCAACTCCCAAAACCAAATTACTTCCATAATTTAAGATATGTTAATGTATATAGCTACATACATAACAAAAGGTGGCTGCTCAACAAAAAATCTTGGAAAACACCTAAGATTTTTTACATTTCATTTTCAGTTTTGATGAGAGTCTTAGCACACAATAGGCAAGCTTTATCCTTTGTGCACACAACGTTTCTCTTCAAATGAGTTTCTTTTGCTGTGCCTTTTCAGTTCAGTATGAAACACACAGCTAAAGACCAAAAACGTTACAAAGAGGTACAGATCCTTGATCCTGAAGATGTATGTATAAGCATATTCAAATATAGCTCTTCTGTGAGCTTAGGAGGAGCAAATACATACTTAGAGTCATTAAGGAAGGTATTTAGATGTGTGCACATAGGATTTGAAACAGGAAACACAAACTGCTTACCAATTTCTGAGTAACTTAGAACTGGGAGACAATATGCTACCTTCTAGGTAAGGATAAATGGTTCTTAAGAACCTGGAGATGAAAAATAAAAATTCATGTCTATAGTGTTATTGTTTTCCAACCACTTTTTTGATAAACAATACCAAATCTTCAAAATAAGCTATTTCACCTTGAATCCATACTTTTTACACAAAGCCCATAACATTCCCTTGTTAAATCCAACACAACCCAAGCACTGGAAATTTACTGAAAGCTTCCCATTTCCTTTCTATGTTCCATTAGTGACTAAGGAGGGTAACTTTTACTGTTAGTAATTTGTTTTTTCTTTAAGTTACTACACTTTTCCTAGTACAGAGTCAGCTTTTTGTGATCCAGTCCAATATAAAAATAACAATACAGCAAGAATTAGACAGAAATTTTCATTTGTATCCTATGTCTGATCCATTTAGTTCATTGCTCTAAGTTGTGTAAAACATGCATTATATGTATCCTAGTTAGCCTCAAGAAAACATTAATTTAGAATGTGTAGCAAATCTCATTATTGTTGACAAAAAGGCAACACYGAACCATTAGCTGTGTCTTCAGAATAAATATTTGAGGAACCAGAATGTATAGGATTAACTAGGCTTGTAGATCTGATGTGCAGCCTTCTATCTAATTAGGATTACAGCTGTATGAAATCAAATGATAATGAATAATCCTGCTCTATTAAAGCAACAMTTACATTTTACATTAATCTTTTCTTATGCAAAGTAGTTGTTTCCCTTATGAGGGATAACTGATTGGTTACCAATTCGCTCAGTTTAGTAGCCTGCTGGGCTGAGCTCTTCTGTCATTATTGTAGCTGTACTGATTATCAGGATCTCCTTCAAGGTCCTAATCAAGAGTTATGGGACAAGTACAAGCRTTTAGAGTATTGTTAGTGAAGAGACTAGAGTATCCTTACAATAGTATCTTTTTTTAAAAAAAAAAATTCACAATTAATGGCTCCTATATCATCTGTTTCAGCCATTACTTTCAAGTCAATAAGCCAAAGTATACATAGCCAAATCAGAACAARTCAGCAACATGAAAGTATGGAACATATACAGTTATAAATACATGTTACAAGTTCCTGTTATTTCCAAGCAGATGGGAGCTCAAAGGGAGAATAAACTGGGGTGTGGGGAAAGGAAATTAAAAAAAAAAGAAGTCTTTGACTAGTATACTTATGAAAAGTAAAGTTTTGAGACCCACTAAGTTCATATTTTGTCCTGTACTGTTCTTTCCTCCCATTTCTCCACTTGAACATACCTGCTATAGATACTGCCTTGCTGGTAGGGGTTCATTGCACAGGTTAGTRTAAACACAGTGTACATATGTTTTATTAAAGCAGAGCACAAGCAAAAGCCAGCTGCAGCCTGGGCTGGACAGAGGATGGCCCCAGGGATGGAGAAGAATGAACCCAAATGCACTGAGCCTGCTCTGCTGTAAGAGGTTTCCCCASTACAAAGCCACACCACAAGCTTGGAGAAAGTCTAAGCAAGCTGATATCCACAGGAAGGTCCAGGGTGTGGGGCACTCTCTGAAGAGAGTAAGAGAAGACTTACAACTAGAAGACAGAAGCTATAGAGACAARCTTTCTCCTGCTGCAAGCAGGAGAAAGGTAAAAAATTCTGTAATTTGTTGCAAATAAGTAAGAAAAAAAGCCACCTATTCTACAAGACTAGATTGGGCAATATGGCAGACCTCATGTTTTGTTCCATCTTACACAATAGAGTCATATCTTTCTTCTCCAGAGTAGCTTCATAAAGCAAGCCAGTCCATATACTAACTTCAGGGAAGGGACACAAACAACCCCATTCCAGGCAGCTACAACCAGCTCAAGAAACACCCATCTGAGACGGATGCAATGCTGGGAACAACCTTCCSTACCAAATACTGCATTTCACACACAGGAAACCTGTGTTTCTTCACAGGAAAGCACAACAGTGCTTCCCTCACTTYCAGCACACTGGAACTCGCTGCCTCAAAGCAGTGCCCCCTCACTTTCCTCACTGCCTCAAAGCCGTGTGTTTCCTCACTTCCAGCACAACACAGAGAGCTGCCACACCACAGAAGCACCTACTAAACACTTTCAGAGGAGAACACATCTATAATTACACCATGGAAGTGAGGTGTACTTCCATAAACACAGAAGTAGTTTTCAGAAAGCGACTGGAATCATTAAACCTGGGCCCACTGCTGCATCCCAGAAGAGCTCTCTGCTCTGAAGAGCAGCAGCTCTCCTCCACCCCAGTCACATACAACCATATCTCAAGACACCAGCACCCACATCCCAGGCCTTTACCTTGCTTTCCAACAGCACAGCTTGGTTTAGCTGCCCTCTCCCACTTTCTCCCAAGGACTTGCCCCTCCCTCTCCCTGCTTTTATATCCACAGCAGCTGGGCCCATTTTCTGCTGCTTCCACCCAATGCATGGGGTTAACCCTGGTCTTCCAGGTGTGTTTATAAGTCCCATGGGAGCAATATGTAAATTTGAATCACTGCAATAACTCTAGCTGAAATGGTTACAAATATGGATTGTTGCTACTTTTTAAAGTAGGTAAATGAAGGATAACATCTGCTTTAAATTTGAAGCATTGCCTCTAAAATATACTTATTAATTGAAACAATTACTAGAGACGATGAAATAATAGAAATATCTTGTTTTATGATTTTAATTTCTTTAAGGATCTGCTTTTGCTCGAAGAGGGATCAGTTCTGGAGATCAAACACAGGCAGAAGCTCTCAAGTTATCAGTATGATTCTAACAGGGAAGGGGATGTCATTGACAGCTGCCTGGGAAGTGGGGGCCCTGGGCAAGGGAGAGTCAAGAAGAATGTGACAAGCACAAAAGAAAGGTGCTTCTCTTGTCAAATCCGTCTTAAAACATCATAAAGCAGATTTCTGTTTAATCATCTGCAAACTCACTCATCTCCTAAATGAGAGGTGCTGGCTCACTCATAGCAAAGGCAAGACTGTATGCAAGACTGTATTGTATTTACTATTGCCCCTGGGTGCCACTTATATGTTGGCTGCCTTTAGAAGATGCCTTTATTTTATAGTGACATATAAGTGATATATTTCTATGATTTAGGGGGAGACAGGAAAGGTTGTCTTCAGGATTCGAGCTATAAGCAAACATGGGTCTTCTATTTTCTCTCAAATGTATAATTAGAAAGCACAGGCATGTTGAGTATGAATGATGCAAATGTTTTGTCAYTAAGTGTGGTGGATTTTTTTTCACTTCCTTTGCCTGATCTAATTCCTGTAGGTCTAACTGACATAACATTGTTTAACTGACTGTATAAAAATATATAAATAAATAAAAAGAAAACAAAATAGAAGATTTCTCTACACTAAATGTAACTAATTACTGTCCTTAAATCAACACAGGTTATATTTGTATAAGATCTTCTAAATTTGGTAGTATTGTTTCTAAGTTGTATCTAAGAAGCTGTAATTATACTACAGTATTATCAACCAAATGAAATTATGTATAAACCTTTTKGGGAAAAAAGAATGCATGTTGGCAAAAATTAACTATGAAATAGAATTAATCAACCAAGAATGTATTTCGTAAGAATTATCTGAAAGTTGTAAATAGATTTTGATTATTAGCCTGTTTTTTCAATTTCTTTTTCTTTTCTTTTTTTCTTCCTGTTAGTTAGGCTATGTATTTATAAAATGTATAATGCTGTAAGGGATGGTTTCCCATTCCTTCCTGTTTCCAGTTTCTAAACAAAGATCCTGACAAATGCATAGAAAAAAAAAGAGCAATTAAAAGTTTCAGTAAGAGATTCTGTTGCTAAAAAGATCTATTTGTAGTGATTAGCCTGTTGAACAGTGTTTACATTTGTTATCTTATCAGTGTGTTTCTAATGCAATAACCCACCTAATTGTCTTGGCAGAGATTAAGCCCTGTTAGCAGGATTCTTTGTTTTCAAATGTTTCCCCTTTGATAGCTACTGCACAACAGCAGCTTCTCTGCTTTGCCCTGATAAGGGTTGTTTTCTCAGCAGTATAAAAAAGCATCACTGACCACTATTATTTTTTTCATCAGAATGTCCATTTGTGTCTTGTTGAACATTTATTGTCTGTTGTTATTCTGACCACMCCCGTCAGGAGAGGTGCTATGCGGTCTGTAAGTGTATGTGACTACTGGCCCAGCAGTTGAATTTTTCCTTCCTTCTCCTCGGGATGCCAAAACAGTGGGTGGATGAGGTACATGAGTCCATTCAAAACATTTTAAAATATTCCTGACTTGATGTTTGCAGTGAAGTTTTAGTGATTTGGAATTTGTGATCTTGATTGCTCTAAGTATCACAAATTTGATGAGCTGCTTCTAGGCCCTGTTATGGGTCTTATTTACCATTCTAGACACTTAAAATTAAGAAGTGATTCATATCTAGAAGAATCTGTATTCTGATGAATATGTTTCATCTTTTGAGAAGGGGAAGGATGTATTATTTTGAATTGCTGCTGAGCATCAATTCTGCAGATGCTTATTTTCTAAGCACATAAATATTCCCACTGAATTAAACACATCTGCATTATTTTCCCACTGCATTATTTTGTCTGCATCACATAACATCATCATACTGCCCTCTTAAACAAACCCAGAGGTTTTTACACTTCTTTAAGAGTCAGAGTAATGCCTGCATGCACCACTTGTAAAGGGATCCTGTAACACAGGACCATTCTGTGCCTTGTCCAAATTGTCCTTCCATGTGTCTGGGCAGTCTGTCCGTCACTGATATTATCAGGGTACATCTTATTACTGCTTCATTCAGACCACAGGAGGGGAATTTAGTTGTAATATCCTCTGCACTGATCCATGGATAAGCATTAAAGACAATAGGGAAAAGGAGATGAATGAACCTGAAGAATGCAGATAAGTTACTTTGATGATGTTGTACTGAAATGTTTTGCTCATGACTCTCTGTCTCTTAATTTGCATTCTTTTTATTCTGAAAAAAAAAAAAAAAGGAACTGAGATTCATTACTGCCTTTGTTTGCTTCTTGACAAATTTCTTGGGATTTATTCATCACATGAAAAATTTTAATTGCATTGTCAGTATTCATTAAACTGCACCTTAACTTGAAATTCATGTTCGGTCATGAATGTAAAACTTCAAAAATTCTCTTTCCTTTAAGAAAAAACTATTTGAATTACTTTAACCTTGAGAATTGATATTTTAGAGGCTCAAAAGATACAACAGATTTGACTTTGTAAACACTTAGGCACGAAAGTCAATGCAAAATAATAATATGAGTAAACATTTATAGAACCTGAAAAAAAGTAGGTGTTGRATAAGAGAAAGAAAAATCTTCTTGAGAAATGGGGAAAGAAATACCAATAAGAAATCACCTACTGTTGACAATAGCTCACCATACAGAATTTTTTTTACTGATTCACCCTATTCTAGTTAGTACTGGCTGATAATTGAAACATGAATGAAACAGAGCAAGAGGAACAAAGGGGAGAAAAGAAGAGTTTGGAGAAGCTATGGCAGGGAAAGGACCTACTTGCCACAGGCCAGGTCATTATTTTTAGGGATTTATATAGTTACCTAGTTAATGAGTAAACAGTAAGCTTCTCCTGGCTCAAATGCCGTTTCATATTAACCTCTGTCAAACAGTTTTTCTTAATTCTGGCTCTGGATGGTGATAGGAAAAAAGGGATGGCCTGCCTGACACACATGAGGCAGTCTCAGAGTAAGCAACCAATGCAGGAATGAAGCCTATCAAGGCTTGCTTGTGTTTACATTCAAAAACTCTAGGCAGAGAAGCTAAATATAATCTTTGCCATGTAACCAATTTCTTAGTGCCTTGTGTTCCTTGAAAGTCTACCATTAGGTTATACCTTTTAAGTGCTTAAGCTCAYTATACCTTCTCCTTTCGATATTTAACATCCTTGGATACCCACTGTATTTTAACTCTCTTTTTTTTTTAATTTGATCCAGAAATCAGAGAAACTTGATTCATTTTAGTCATTTTTGTTATAGACTTTGAAACAAGTCTTCAGCAGTTGTTTCTGTTGATTTACAGCAGCTGACAGATGATTAAAACTCCATGTGTCCAATAGCCAAGAAGTTATATCACTTTCTGCATCCTCTGACTGACAAGAAAGGTGAAAATTGCAAGTTCAAACAGATTGCTGAAAATAAGATAATTTTGGCTTTATAGCTGTGAAGAGAAAGGTAGTACTTCACGTTTCAAAACCGAGAAAAAATACTGCCCACCACTCTGTCAAGTTCTTTATCTGGTTATTGATTTGATTTTCTCCTCAATACTAGGGACTAAGGCATGAATATAATGAGTCAGTCGCTGCTGCTGGCAAGTCCTCACAGACCCCAACAGAGGAGGACGGAGGGATGGGAAAAGCAGAGGTGTCTGGATGGGAGCCTCCTTGGGACATCCTGAGGCCTGCCTCCTGCCAGGAATGCCTGGGGTATGGCTGTGGGCAGTCCCTGAGGCAAAGGAAGGCCTGACCCACTYGTCACGTCTCAGCAGTTGCCACTGCTGGCAATCTGGTAAAAAATCTGTAAAAATTCAACCGTTCAGGAGGAAGAGTGGTTGAAGCACAAATCAGGGTCTGGTTTGCAGGGCCTCACCTCACCCAGTGAGGTGAGGTCTACAGGGTCTTATACCCACAAGCAAGACAGGATACTAATACTAATCTACTTCTCACTGTCCTCTGTTCTTGGGTTATTCTACTTCTGTAAAAGATGATACTTTCCTTGAATAACTAAGATATTATGACTGGCAGTCCAACAGAAATAGAAAAGCTGTGTACAGATCTACTGGATATATGAGGAAGACTCAATAGAATCATGCTTGACCGTCACCAAAGTGTAAAAATTCCTACTATTAGAACAAAAATAACATTTTAAATCTCAAAATCCTCTGTCAAAGTGGAATTCATACTTGCTGAGCAAATACACTGAACTTCTGCCAAGGCCACAAAATTATTATTTATGGTTGTTTAATACAGTTTGTCAATTCTTCAGCMATTAATGTTGCAATTCAGTGAACTGAAACTCTCTACCAGGAAGGTCACAGAAATATACAAGATTCATCCTAGCAGACAACAAGTTGTACATTCAGTTCCGCTTGGCTCTTTAAAAATAGTTATATTTTCTTTTCTTTCTTGCTTGCTTTCTTTTTTTTTTTCGCTAAAGCCTCAGGATTTGATCTAGCTTCTTGCTTCATATCAGAACATCTAGTCTCTATGATATAAAGCATCATTTATCAATTCACTCCATCTATTCAAATTTGCCTGAGAAATTATAAGAGATTAATTTTGTGCTTGTAGCTTTTTACCTTGGATAAAATATCATCTGCTAATCACACC